TGCAGGATCTTGCAAGAAATGAATAAGATATAAACGAGTTATTGGCGTTATTGTTATACAATCTCTGTACATTCTTTAAACACACACAACGCATTTTTAGAAATAAATTGCGATGCTTAGATCGGGCTGCTGTACCTATTCGATACCCAATTTTCTGAAGTAGTCGCTATGAGTTGATATTAACTCACGCCTTTCCAGCTGTCGCTTGGCACTGGTCGCGTTCCTTTTATTGCATTTTATCCATGTAATTCCGATTTTCTACTTATTTTGACAGTAACTTTGGTGATTTCTGTTATAATGTTCCGTTTTTATTGTGTTTTGCGATGTTTTAACAACGGCGCTTATATTAATGAATAAAGTCCACTGCGAGCTGAGATATGCATGTTCGAAATTGAAACGCTAAATTATTCCTGGGCACGTAGAAACAGCTCTAGGCAACGCAAAGTGATAAGGGGACCCATCATAGTGACCACAAAGGATAAAATAATCAACAAATTCAAAATTTATCCTCCGAATAAGTTATGGAACCCATGGACGGTTTGTTGCACCAAGAAGACACTTGAACACAGATAACTAGCGTATGAGTGTTTCCTCTGCTGATTAACTGCTCGAGAAGAAAACAAATCCATTTGGCACATGCAGTTAGAACAGGGAAAGGTTCCCGAAGCAGATTATCCACCAGTAGCTGACCAGAGCACAATTGAAGGCCCAGCAGAACCGTGGGAGCATTCGAACGGAAGGTCTATCGCGAGAATATCTGGGAAAGCTCAATAAATTAGTTCAAAACGCAAGCTTGCATATGCTTGATTACGAAAAATAGAGTGCCTGTAGCCGTATCCTCAGCTAGCCATATCTTCAAGGAAACCGAAAGAAGTCGAAACGTTGCGTTGACCTTTACAAAAGCACTAACTAGTATTCAGGACTAAAGATCTACTGGTACAGGCCTCAATTAGGTGAATAAGTGCAATCAGTGCAGCAAATATTTCTGCCTCTATTGATTCAATAGTACATAAATTGGTAGATGACTAGTCCTCAGAATCAGTGCGATTCCCAGCACTACGCAACCACCATCCATAAAAATGGTTCCGTTTGCGTGTGGCTTTGGTTGAAGTTTCGAATGTTGATCCTAGCAATGAGAATTGCTAGTTTGCAGCTATAACAAACACATCGGCCTTTCTCCTTAGTAACTCTCTTCGAATTCGCTTTGATTCTGTTAGAATCCACTCCAATGTTCGTCCTCGTTTCGTCCTCTCTTCTCATTGTGTAATCGGCCCATAGACGCTGATTTATTGAAAGATATTCTGCTAATTTTCGAAGGCAGTGTAATCTTCGGAGATCCGAACTACGAAAGCCGGCACGGTGTCTGGTTTGCCCGTCCAATTTCAGAAGGCGTCTCGAATGCTCAGTGTATTTTTCGATTTCTTATTTAGTATTTTCCTTCAACTTTTTCTTTATGACTGAAGTACCAGCCCAGCTCCGCGCCCAGCATGAAGCTGAAGGCACTGTTGCGTCAAATGAGTGCATAGATCAGAATCATTAACTTGATCAGTCCAAGACACAGCCCTTGCTGATAGTTGTCTTCTACAGAGTTCCTCTCTCATATCAGTACTAAAGTACACTGAACATCCCAAATATATGTAGGATGCAGTCTCTTTAATTGATGGTCCATGCAAGATAATCTGTTTTCAATTACCTCATTTCGTTCACGTCAGTCCCCGGAAAGGGTAACTGTGAGTTCGAAGCGTACGTTTTGCTCATATTTCAGCATCCTTGTGGTTGTATATCACATAATACCCAGTCATAAAAGAAGAACAGGCCTCAAGCAAAGTTTGAAACACAATGTTTCCATTTATATCAGGCATTCTTCATGGGTTTTTTCGCAGTTGAACTGTTTTTCCCGCTTCGTTGAGCTCAGTGAGCGCTGACTTTGATTCTCTAAATATTATTGGAAAGGAAGAAAATGTCATCGACAAAACGTAGGTTGGAAAGGAATCGACCATCAATACGTATCCTTTTTCTGACCCAGCAGGGTGAACACACGATCGCAACGGTGAACAGATTTGTCGATATTGTTTTGCCCTGTCGTAATCCTCCAGATAATGAGTGGTTGGAGAAAAAGCTGTGTCGCCATCGTACAGTGACTACTGTAGTCGGCAAGCGTTTCCGTGCAAGAGAATCTTTTATCTAACTACGCCAGACAAGATGGCGTTAGTTTTAACACTATCAAATGTTAACAAGGGTTGGGACATAGAAGTAAGGGTGGTGGTTCCCAACAGATCTACACAGCTCTCCAGAGTGTTTGAATGTGGTTCATTCAACTAATATCCCATGAAATCCGAAATTTCGCAAGAGATTTCGCTTTATACTAATCACAAAAAATGATGATCAGAAGAGTTTTAGGCCGTGAATGTTAAAAATTGTGTGTAAAATGTAAAAGTTGATGTTCTAATGAATGTAAGGCATGTGTAAAACGTGTTATTTATAGGATTTGGTTGTAGAGGTACTAATTATGGAAATTTCAGGATGTAGAGATTGAAACTGATGCGTGAGAAGTGTTAACTTCAAGGATTTTACAAAACCATCTGAATACGATCTTTGCAAGACCAATGGAATATTATGAGAATACGAGCTCGAAATAAGAGACACTATGTGGCGACGTCTTGAAGAACACTTTACACTTTTCACAGAAATGTAGCCTTTTTGACGCCCAGTGTACAACTGTACTCTACAACTCACCCAAACAAGTTTTCTTAATGAACTACTACCGTAAGCAAAAAGAATCGCGTCAGTGCCGAACATCAGTGCTGAAGTGTAGCAGAGGCATCTCTGTTGATTCTTCAACGATAACAATTTATTCACTAGTTGTTCTCCTCACCTGCAACTGTCTCTGGCCCAAGAAATGAACTCGTCCAAAGGACAGTTGTTTGCAAATTATTGCCTATACAGAATAGCTTTGCAGGTCGGATACCTAGCAGAGTAGTCAGTGTTTTATCAGTAACCGACTGAATGCAAAGCCTAAAACGAAAACCCTTGTTGTTATTAAATACTATTTATTCACAACGGCTAGCGTTTTGTTGGATTTTGCCCTCATCAGAGCCTGGAAAGGTCAAATTAACTGCACTGTAGCCGGCTAAACACCTCCATAACTCCAACAGAAGAACGACGACGCCTAATTTTTAATCACATCGAAATAAAACAGTTTCTTCAAAGACTGATCGTTTTATACAAGTCTTTCACTGAGAATTCCAGGCGTAGAACAACCACACAGAGTTCATGTGGGTGGGTAATGAGTTCCTCTAACGAGTAGTCAAAGGAAGGCCTTTTCTACAAACAACAGTCTCCGCAGCTTGACGAACAAATCCGTGCTGAAGTCTCTTGGAAATTACTAAGTGCAGACTGTAGCTTTTCTTGAACGACACCCTGTACGGCATCTACACCATGGGAGCTATTGAATGAATGCAAAAAGTGGCAAAAAAGCTTTGTACAGCAAAGGATGGAAAGAAACTGAATCATATATGATTCGTAACGGTCACTCTGCTACTCTGAAGTAAGAGTACATTATTTGTTCTTGTTATTTTCTTCCACATTCATCACCTCTGCACTACCATAAATCTCTCGAAATCTCGAGTTAGTGTGGAGTTGCGTTCTACGGAACCAACAGTACCCCGTCTACGTTCCACGGATCGCAGTGCGTCCATATCTCCGCACGGTTTGATATCCACCTGTCGCGATAATAGTGGTGAAATGCGGACGTGTGCCTCATGAGGCCTTGACCGAGGTGTCGTCGGGATGGGCGACGACGCAGTCCGTCGGCGGAACGGGACGCGCATGAATGTGGAGGGTCAGCGGACCCACTGACGGACGACCTGACGACATCGACCTCGTATCGATCGTAGTGATTTGCATTGTATGAATAGCACACCGACAACTTCTCCATCAACCATCACAGCTGCCTCGGTTGTCCGTCGGCTATCAGAGGAATGATTCTTTTTCTGATGAATGCGTTGTAGTTGCAACTGTTACGGGAAAATACCGTCTTCGCAGCACTTTCATTAACTACCAAGTTCGTCACAGTACTGACAAGGTACTGATAAAAAGTTCACACGCTAACAAAGCACGTAAAGTTGACGATGTTTTGGAAAGAGTTCAATATAGCACGGTCGTCTTCGAAGGATTTCGGTCTAGCTGTCCGTGCTCACAGCAAGTGGTAAAAATAGGAATTTTGTGAGAAAAATACACACCATATGATACCAGCCAAGTAGCTAATACTTTATTTCCGGGATTAAATCCGCTTCGTAGTACAATAACGGACTAGTGCAGGACCCGCTTCTAATCAGACGTAGTTCTTACGGAGATCAGGGGTCACAAAAACATTGGAAAGTGTATTTATACGGACCATAACAGGTCCATAAAGATCATATCACAGTGTCCTGATGAAATACAGGTAGCAGAGGTGGTATCTCAGGCAAATTTTAGCCTATCAATGAACTTCTCCAGAGTTCTACCAAAATGGACCACTACGATAGTCACCGCACAAAGAACGGGTCATGATTCACCGATGGTGCGTAAACTACACATTTTTTTGGACCATAAACTTCTGCCAATACTTCGAATGGTGGTCAAAATCGATGATCTGATTTTTTGTATTGATTGAAACCAGCTAATGAACAGAAACGACCACCACATGAATGGCACTCGGGTTTGCTGGATAGATTATGGGTTATTACCAATGAAGTAACACGATTGCTAGCCGTCTTCACATAGTAGGAGCAATGGTTGCAAGGTTTCCTATTCTGTACGAAACGATTATCAGTGGCATCCGCGCTTGTTACCATTACCCCTAGCGGTCGCCTGATTGCAGCACAACCGTGACCCTCCAACCCTCTACAAATATCAGCTACATGGGTTCTCAGTGATTTGTCTAGAACTGACAGGGCCGTCGGAACATTCAGGGCATCTCGGTGACGTCATCGTAACGCGAACTGCATCCGAGGTCGTCCATGGCAACGGTGCCCTGCGGGCAATCGGCGCGCGCGCCGGGGGCGGAGCGCCGCGGCGCAGCCCGCCCGCGCGGCGGTCGCCCGTCGCCTGGACATTTTACCTGCCGCGCCGCTCGTGAGATGGACGGTGGCGGCAAGATGGCAGCTGCCATCTCCATGGAATCGCTGAATTCCGTCAGTACCGAGTCCTGCTCTCAGGTTCGGACGCTATTCGTCTCTGGTTTGCCAATGGATGCGAAACCTCGCGAACTGTATCTGCTGTTCCGTGCCTATCGCGGTTACGAGAGCTCGTTATTGAAAATGACAGCGAAGAATGGTAAGCCTACGTCGCCTGTGGGATTCGTCACGTTTCAAACGAGCAGGGACGCGGATGATGCTCGTAAGGCGCTACAGGGTGTGCGGTTCGATCCCGACTGTGCTCAGGTCCTGCGTCTCGAGCTGGCCAAGTCGAACACCAAGGTATCACGACCGAAACAATCGCCACCTCCGGTTATTCCAATCGCTACTCCCTCACTGCAGGCTATGCCACAATTCCTCGCACCACTGCAGCCTGCTGATACAATTGTGCTCGATCAGCATCCTCTGCTACTGGACCAACATCAGCTATTTTCCCTCACTTTACCGCGATTTCCCGCTTCTGCTGCTACTCAGTCGTTACCTCTCGCTGGTATTCTGCCATCAGATGGCAGCTATCATCAGAATGCTGCTCTATTCCAGGCGGCACTCGGACTTGGTTCGGCTGCACACAATGCGGCTGCACTTCAAGGATGTTCGACGTTATTTGTTGCGAATTTGAGTCCTGGTGTGACGGAGGACGAGTTGCGATCTGTATTCAAGGCGTTCGCCGGCTTTACACGTCTACGAATGCACACGAAAAACGGTTCTTCGGTAGCTTTCATCGAGTACTCGTCATTAGCGTCAGCAACAAGTGCGATGATGGCACTTCAGGGATTCCATTTAGGATCATCCGAACGTGGTGGCCTACGGATTGAGTACGCCCGAAACAAAATGGCCGACGTGAATGGCTGAGTTGTTTAACAATGCATTGTTTGGTTTCTATTAGTTTACAACCTTTTCTTTTAATGTAATGTCTTGTCTTAATTCATCACATTGCATCTTATGGTGTAGCATCAGAATCAGTTCAGCATTTTGTGCAGTTGCATCACTTCTCTGACTATCGATTCGTTTAACTATTGGCGGCGGCTCATTGATTGATTGATTGCTTGGACGATCGTCCTTGTACCGTTGTCATTGCGGTCGGTGTGTATCCTACCATTTTACCCATTTTTTATTTCGTTCTTCTTTCTATTTCTTTCCTTTATTTTGTTCCTCGAGAACCATTGTATTTGATGGTCTACTTCACACATCATTACACATTTGTAGTCAATCAGCACACTGTGGCGATGAGCAAACATGTTCACCCATACGCCCTGTAATCATACCTCATGTGTTTTTATTTTATGGAAACTGAGCTTTACCGATGAGAGATCTCAACGACTTGTAATAATAGCGTAGACGAAACGAGCATGACGTTAACAGTCTCACAAAACCCACTCTCGCTAAACCCTTATTTCCTCTTCCTTACCGATTTTTACCGCGACCATTTCACTCCCCTTAGATTGGTCCATGTCTCACAGTCTCACATTATCTTTCCCTGCATTTCATTATCTCGTGTACTTCCAATCTGTGATGACGTTTTTCGAAGGTTGTTAGGGTCAATGCACCTCACTTGTTACTTTATCACATCATCATCATCATCATCATCATCATCATCATCGTCGTCGTCGTCGATTAGTTGGCGCGGCTCTAGCCACGCCTACTACCAAATCCAGGTGTTTCGGTTCAGGACTCACCCACCCATATTCATCGGGCATGTCTAGCGCCTCCACACAGTCACCCACACAGAGGAGTCGCTTTTGTACTATGTATGTTTTTTGTAGCTGGAATATCCGTCACAATTTTGCGTGGTCTTCATCGCACCAATCTAGAAGACTTGTCATATCAAATATTTTATGCTATGCTTGTATATGTAATGGCAATATTTTCCTTGAATGGTTCTTTCGAATATACAATAACTATTTATTAATCTCAGCACAGAAGCACGGTACACATACACATACACACGCGTATACATAAGCACCAACTGTGCACATCTGTAAACACAATTGGAAGTGACAATGCACACCGTATTTCGCTTGAAGCTAACTTGTGCTTAAGCAAATGATAGATGAAGTACCAAACATAGCACAAACCATAGGTCCGGTTGTGAACTGAGAATGGTGGGATTGTCGAAAATAATAATAGGCGATGAGAAAGGTTAGCGCACAGGATGTACGGAGGGTTTTTCATTGAAGGGCATCTTCGGTCCGTTGAACACTTGTCAACGGCAGTGCGTTACAGAAAAAACCCTCAATTATTGATCTCTGGATGCGAATCATATTCAGTGTATTGGACATAGGAGTGAAGGTTTCCATTTCCTTGTTAATTTCTACGCGCAGTTGCTTCCCAGCTTTCACGTTTCCATTGGAGGAAATGTCTCCAGAGAAAGTAGCTTACTATGAAGTAGAGCAAGATTACATTAACAGCATGTTTGGATTAGCTAGGAATTTGACACTTTATTCTTATAGTATTTAATTTATAAGCTGAGATAGCACTAACAAAATAACAATAACGAGTCTCCATTTGTATGATTCCAGCTCAGTGAGTTGGCTTCGTGGTTGACTCCTAGAACATATAAGCACAACGCGGTATTGAAAGTCTTCAGTTGTCTCCCGATGAACATGGCATGGAATTCTCCAACTCGGTTAACGTCCTCTGTAGATACTCGATACGTTCATCTTTCCACGAAATTTCATAACGAAGACTTTCCATGTCTTTCTATAAAAGAGAAAACTGAATCTTAAATGGTAATATCTGTGAAGTAGGAACTGCTTGGGAATAGGCGCTTGATTAGGCGTGTGCTGGCATGCGAATATATCAACCACATTATTTAGTCAATGCGTAAGTAGCCCAGTAAGTCTATAAGTGAAAAGCCAGTGCAGTGCCAGCACAACAAAGGCGATTGAATGAAAGTTGTTGTCAAGTTTACCCACCGTACGAAAGCCTACCTACCGCACATTTGCAATTCCCCGTCGCTTCAACTTTTTGACTTGGGGACAAATTTCAGAATTCGAACGATTTTCTGCAGGCTTGAGGCTGTTTTTGGCGCCATGAGAATACTGGACGGTACGGAATCGAAGAGTAATTTAGCCAGTCGAACTTCGTTACGCAACCAAACCGAACTATCACTATCGCAGGGAACTTCCAATAATATGTATACATCTCAGCCGTATACGCATTTCAATTCTTCGGGCTTTTTCCTTGAAACAAAGAGCTTCTGGCATGAATTCTTCCACTTTTTTCTCGTTTTCACACATATCTAAATAATTTGGACACCGACAATTAGATGTGCTCTTTACCGCTTATTAGAAGCTTTCCCACTGGTTAGCGATCCCATTGGTTAGCGAAGAGAGAGAACTCGACTTGTTTAACGCTCCGGACTGACTGCGTAGAGAAGGTTTTACGGTGATTTAAAACATATAAGTATTATATATATATGTGTATATATAGTCAAAAATAAATATTATTAGAGATATGGTAGAAGTAGAATCGGCACCCATCAATGAGGAAACAGTTCAGTCATTTGTCGGAAGTAATGCTTTCAAAGTCTTGCAACCTTTAGCAATACTGTGTTAATCAGTGGATCTGATTCTTAACAATCATCTAAGCGACGGAGTAGGTTTTCTTTACTGGTGATTTTTCCCTTGCACGTCTCTGTTTTTCACAGCCCTGATATCTACCATTAATCCTGCTAAGAAGACTGCATACTGCAGCTTAACCTAATCTGCTCATCTACACAAGCTTTCCTGTTTTCTATTATCCATCACATTATCAATTCTAACAAGACAACATTACGAAACGAAGCAGGTAGGAAATCTCCATTGGGGATTTTGATACTTACGGGACTTAAACTAACATACCAGCTCAGGCAGAAGTTTATTCCAAATTTTTGCCTACGGGATGGAAGTTCTATTGTTTACCTACGATGAAATTCTGACTATGGTGCCCATGCCATACACTTTTTCCATTTTATTGCTTCAACGCTCATATTTAGAACATAAAAGCAAATGAAGAAGCAGGATTCCGTCTATCAGGCGGCCATTGCGATGCCCCCAATATACCGCTTGTGTTTATAGCTGCCGTGTTTCCACAAAAAATCTTCAGAACTTGAATTCGCGCGGGGATCGATTCCACGTGTGTGTTGCGTAGCGCCTCCTACCACTGCGCCACACGCGGGTTAATAGTATTTTCCACAATTTACAAAAAATTACGAAAAGAAAACGGCTATTTTAGCCATAATTTAGTCCAGTCTCTTCATCATAACACATCAATATTAAGATAACAGAAGGATCAGACTTGAATTTCCCAACGTTTTCAACAGTTTAAATTTTACTAAAAATCTAAGGTGAATACAAAAAAAAAAAGAAAGTCATTGGGGCCGGTTAGATCCGTGGTAACTAGCTAAAGCAGAGCCAAGGCAGTTTCGAAACCCGCTTTACTGAAGCTATATTCTGGAAGTGAGAAAAACGAGGATATGAAACCATCTCATACAACAAACGTATCAGAAAACCAGTTCGTTCGCCTCATTTGTCGACTACGGAAAATTTCGAATCGAGTGTGCGATGATGCGCTCACGGCGTCACATGCGACACGATTGAGTCGAACAAACGTGAACAACACTTATCGAAGACCATTCGAACCCGTCAACTAGGTGTGAATTAGGAGAACCAACATATTTCCATTCGGAATCCGACAAATCCTTGTGATGGAGTTCGCTTTCTTGGACTTCCGAGGAATTATTAATTCCACTGAGGTGCGGGAATTTCAAACCCTTGACTGCTTGGAAATTCGATCTTCTCAGTGTGAGTGTACGTTCTATTCGCATCATTCACCAGTGAATACGACTACCGAATTTAAAGCGTCTGAAACTTCGGAAACATTGCAAATCGAAAATAAAACAGTTCACGAATATGCGACCGAATACAATTAAATGGGAATTTAGTGTGCCAAGCTACAGAAAGAAAGGAAGTCAGATATTGCTAGTTCTTATGTATCGAAGATGGCCAGAATGAAAGAGTCACCAAAAATAAGAGGCTTGGGAAGTGTGGTTCTCAATTATTGTATGTGGGTACGCATCCTTGAAGACCACACACAATCCGACTGTCGATTGACCCAAGCGGGCATCATTAGATATGCTAACACTCCCTTTATTTCCTTCCTCACGTCGCAGCTACTCTTACACAAAGAACAAGAGTTGCATCGCACTTTTCAACCGAGGAAGTTGTTGGTTACGTGCAGATATTAATGAATGAACAAATAGATGAAATGTTTAATTTATGAAGCCGACTATCATCGTAGACGCTTTCGGGTTAAGGAATGAAGGAATGAACGTGTGAAACATGCTTCTCCTTCCGCCGCTGTATTTTTTAACATCGCTCATTGATGGTAGTAAGTTTGCAACATATGGAGAATTCAAAGTTGAAAGACACCGCACCTAAAACCTGATTTCATTCCGATTAGGCCTCATCATGGTCGTTTGTTTCTCATTTCCTGCAGGAAGTCCGTAGTTTCTCATTCAATGTCTTGTTTTTACCGGTCAGAAAACGAGTGAAAGTGATGAGACCGATTTTCGTAAAAACGTTTCGTGCTTTCTCATTTGATAAAAAAAACCATTGGCTACTTAGTCGGTCGTTAAGAAATCCGTTAGGTGTCCTAAGCGGGAAGTGCATTTGTCACCACCGCTAGAGAAGTCGTCTAATAACCTACACAAGCGGTAAGTTTTCTTTGGCAATGATGGAAGTAGTTCCAGTGCACTGCGGTATCGTCGATTACGTGATATTATACGGAAGTGCCGAAAAGGTAAGTAGTAAGACATGAAAAAGTTGTATATTTCTCTCGAAAAGCAACAAAGCTTGGTTATTATGATTTTCTACTGGGGGAAGAGGTGAGTAAAATCTGTAGTTATCTCTTATTTAAAAAAAACTATTCTACAACCAAATGCTGAATCTAAACTCTTTATCTGACTTGCCCACACCCAAGTTACATAGCCTCATTTCAACCGAAAATACTCCCGCCAATAATAAATAGCTCTAGCAATCTAAACTCGCCTATGGTTCATGGATTATACCCTCGTATTTCCAAAATGCTCTTTTTCGATTCGTCACATTACAAGAAAGATTTGTACATTAACAGTTTCATATCCCTATTTTTTATTAAACAACACAACAGCTCTGATTTGATTACTTTCGTGATCAACAATTTTTGCTCCGTACCTTTAAACTTGATTCGGCAAGCTACACTGGCCACACTTGATCGGTACTGGGTATGCCGTGCGATTAAATCAGAAAAAGTCACTGTTGCAGAAAGTATAGAAGCCTTGGCAGAACTCTGGTCGCAAACTAAATCACCCACCGATCCATAATAAATAGCAATTATTTATGCCGAAGACCAGGCAAAGTACTACATGTTCTAGTTTTTCATGAGATATAAGAGAAATTCAACACGATCGCAATTGATACCAGATTCTCATAACCCACAACCAAATCCGTCAAAGTACCCAACCATTTCCTGTGACGACTACTGCAGGACTAGAATAAGAATCCAAATTAGAGAACAGCTCGTGTGAGCACATCACGTACGGGAGGAGTTTATCAATGTATTTGAGCACCTCCATACGGATGGATAATTTCTGTTTTTCAAATATACCGTCGTTTTATCTCAAGATATATGACTTTGAGTCGGATCGGACCAATTGAGAAACGTGTTCTATGTGAAGTATTTAGTTGGCGTTGGCATATACTTCACTCGACACACTTTGTCGTTTGACAAATCACCACTGCTACCATTGCGCTCAGTCACAATGTTTACACAAACAATGTGTATCGAAACAAACACATCGAAAAGCGGCGATGCTGAGATGTGATAAATAACCCTGAAAATCACTGAATGATTTCAGCAAGAGCAATAGTGTGCTCATGGACTGCTCGTTCGCTCTTTCTAGAGTAAACGTGAACTTCTATGTTTGAGAAGACTTTGAACTACCTCCTATGCATTTTTCAGTCATGTGATTACTAACTTTAGCCGAATGCTTGCAATGCAGCATGATATTTAGCATACCGACTTTTCCTTTTTTAGATGAAATTTATCTGTAGGATCCGGTTATTCGTAAGCAAATATGCATATCCATACTGGTGTGTACTTATGTGAATACATGCATGTGTATCTTTTAGACCATCTCCGTCCAACAGTTTGTTAATTTCTGAGAACATGTGAGGTCGGCAAAACTGATTAATGTCGCTGAAATTTACGTAACACGTCTCCTTCTGTCTACTCATTTAGTCGATGATATGACAGGTCGCGTTCTGTCGGACAAAAGCGTTTCGTTTTTGTGATGATCACAAAAGAGCAGACATCATAAAAGAATGGTAAACGGCGAATCCTGCTTGCTGCATTTGTTTTATAGACTCCAATCCGTCTCCTATGCGCTTCCGAATCACCGGATTTTAGGTACTTGGTCGAATCGAATGGAATCGGTCGAATAACTACACAATAGAATCTTCAGACGCGTAAGAACATCGAAGGACATTTATATTAGTGTGATTATGTGAATACAGAAGAAAGAAGTCCATTCGGCGAAGCATATGGCGCGACCTCAATGGGGTTCTTCGATTATGCCTAGTTGAACACATTGACACTCGTGAAACATAAGCTCTCCCTCTCTGTAGGGGTTCGCATTAGAAATGCAGCCGACCACAAAACAAACGAAACTTCTAAGCGCTCTTATTTTCTACTTGTAGCTTCTTTTCCTTGAAAAAGGACAGCTACTGTTGACCACAGAGAATAGCAGACTATATATATATATATATAAATATATATATATATATAATATATATATATATGTACATATATAACATTGTATTTTATTACTGTACATATTATATTATGAATACATGTATGCATATGTATGTGTATATGCACATGCATATGTATGTATGCTTGTATATATGCCTCTATGTGTGTATGTGTGTATGTATTCATGGATTCGTCGTGCATATTAGGTAGAGTTGGGGTAAATGCTTAGTCAGCCCACCAGAAACCACCGTAACCGTCGCCACATCGGATTTCGCGGCCATGATTTGTTTTTGATATTTTATGCCGTCAAACGCATTCAGGTCTCATTCAGGATCGTAGCGGTTTTCGATAAAGTGGCGTGTTTCATAAGT